AAAATATCCATAAATTACCATAAATTACCAACATTAAATATTTTAGGTCTAATTTGTGTTTTACATATTTTAATAAATTATCGTATAAATTTACATAAATTACCGCAAAAATTTCCATAAATAACCATAAATTACCAACGTTAAATTTTTTAGTTAAAAATTTATGGACAAAATTTTCATAAATTTCCAAAAATTACCGCGAAAATTTCCATAAATTACCAACGTTAAATTTTTTAGTTAAAAATTTATCGTCAAAATTTTCATAAATTTCCAAAAATTACCGATGTTAATTTTTTTAATTCTCGTTTGTGTTTTATATAGTTTTATAAACTATCTATCTAAATTATTTCCTCTTTCTTTCAAAGTATAACAATGTTTTTTTTATAATTGCAAAAATATTTAACTAATCGTCATTAACTTTTATCACAAACCAAAAAATATTAGGCGCACTAGGAAACAAAACGTGGTACTATATTAATTGTATTATTATGAATATGCAAATCACAAAATTTTTTATTTTGAAATATCAACTTACATTTTTGAATAATTTCAGATTCAAAATTTAAAAAAAGTACTTCACAAGAATTCAATTATTTTTAAACATTTTAAAATAAATTATTTTAAAAAATTGTTTTTCGACAATTTTAATAATAGCGGGACTGTAAACGAGATATTTTAAATTTACTGTAATTTAATGAAATTTAATCAGTAACCTGTTATGGTTATTGATAAAATTGTGTTTTCATTAATAAATAATCCTTGAAAGAACCTTGCAATAAGTAACACGATGCTTTTGTGAATTTTTTCACAGATGAATGTGCGATTTAAAGATTAATTTCGAATCGAACTCATCTCCTAAATCAGTCATCTAGAAAAGGTTCTTTCGAACATTGAGTATGGTCATATTCGATTCACGAACCTTTTATCGGGTATTCATTTTATTATATAATAATATATAATATATAATAATATATTATATATCCATTTTATTATAATTATTTTCACCATTTATCTCGAGTTTCTTTAAACTATGCCTTACACGGAGAAAAATTTTCTGTTAATGATTACAATAGTCGAACAGTACTGCTCGGATATGTGACCACTTTTCGTAATGCCTAAAGTAGCTTCGTTGTAACAATTCTGTAAGTCGAACGTACTCATTAAAAATTTATTTAAAATAAATACGAACTAAATATGAGTTAGCACAAAGTCTATGTGACTGATTACAATAGTCTACGTTAAAAGGAAATCTTGGATTCTATCCACATTTGCAGCAATCTAAGGGAATCAGTGATACAGTCTGTAGTAGTCTTTACAACAGGACTATTGTAAAATAAGGTGACCGCGGCTGCCTTGCCTTCTTATTTTACTATATTTACTTATATTTTACTATACTTCTAATCATGTATTGCACATTAATTTCACTCTTCCAAGACTACCCACTTCAAGATTAATTATATTATTAAACTAGACAATTTTACTAAACCCTAAGTACACAAATCTAACTTAAATACTAAACGCATAACATAATAACGATCGCTATTTACACATATTTATACATGACTTAAACTTCCTTATATACTAACTGCTATGAAAGTTCACCGCTTGCGAGAAAGACTTATACACTTTAAATGTAAAAAAATCACTTCGTTCTCAGTAATTAATGCAATTATAATTAATACAATTATTGTTCATTGTTAGTCTTTAATATTGTAAGGTCTATTTTTTATTACATTTCCATAGAGAAAATTTTTTTTTCTAACACACGCACCGAAGGTACAAGATTTCTTGCCTGTATAAATTGTTATATAATTTACACAACTTACGTAAGTTACGTACATAAAAAAGTAAGTTAACTTACGTTAATCACGTAAGTTACGTAAATAATGTATAATACGTTTAAAAATAAGTTACGTAAATAATGTAAGTTACGCAAATAACTGATAATAAATTATAATAATAATAATAATTGCACTTACGTAAATAACGTACTATAGTAAAATAAGAAGGCAAGGCAGCCGCGGTCACCTTATTTTACAATAGTTCTGTTGTAAAGGCTACTACAGTCTGTATCACTGATTCCCTTAAACCGCTGCAAATGTGAACAGAATCCAAGACTTCCTTTTAACGTAGACTATTGTAATTATAATAAGTCTCTGCGTGAATGAGTACAGTTCCCTTTCTGAACCTGTACATCTAAATTATTAATGATTCCAAAAAATAAATTTCAACACGATTAATACAGTGTTTGGATTCATTAAAGTAACTATAGTAATCGCTCCTACTAAATTCTTAATAAATTACATAGTTTTCGTAATCATTACAAAAAGTGGTCACATATCCGAGCTATAATATAGACTATTGTAATCATTACGAAAGAAATTTTCTCCGTGTATTTAACTAAAAGTTTTAAAAAACAATTATTAAAATAATAAAATAAAGTGAACATTAAAACAACATTTTGCATGCGTCACAAAAATTAAACTCTTTGAGTATGAGACGCACAAACCCTGAGAAAGACCGAGAAAACGATTCGACAATGACAAGAGCAGGGCTTGGATAGACTTTAAGACTCAAAAAAAGTCGCTTTAGTCGCAAATTCACAACAAAAGTCACGAAAAGTCGCATAAAATTATTGCAAAAAGGTCGAAAAAAAGTCGCATGGAATTTTAGAAAAAACGACAAAAAGGAAACACAAAATTGTAAAAATTGTAAAAAAAATCACATTTCTCGACAACACATACTTTAATATCAAACAATCCGGAATCAAATTTAATAAAATTTAATAAAATTCAAAGCAAAATTTTAATTAGCTATTTTTAACATTTTTCTAAAAATTCCCTTTAAAATGTAAAATATTTTTATAAATAATAAAATTCTTCTCCTAAATTCAATTATTTAAAAAAAAATTTAATAAAATTCTTGTCAAAATTTCAATTATCTTTATAAATAATAAAATTCTTATCTGAAATTCAATTATTTTCATAAGTAATAAAATTCTTCGCAGAAATTCAATTATATTCAAAATTTTTTTTTAAATTCTCGTCAAAATTTTATAAATAATAAAATTCATTATGAAAATTTAATTATTTTCAAAAATTCTGATAAAATTCTAATACAAAATTCAATTATCTTCAAAAGTACGAATATTCTTCGCTGAAATTCAATTATTTTCAAAAAATTATTTTAAATTCTCCTCACAATTTCAATTATCTTTATAAATATCAAAATTCTTCTGCAAAATTCAATTACTTTTAAACATTTTTAAAGAAATCTGTTTAAAATTTTAATTATTTTTATAAATAATAAAATTCTTCTCTGAAATTCAATTATTTGTAAAAATAATAATAAAATTCTCGTCAAAATTTTAATTATCTTTATAAATAAAAAGATTCATCCTAGAAATTCTATTATTTTCAAATTTTTTTTAAATTCCTTGTCAAAATTTTATTTATCTTATTCATAAATAATAAAATTCATCCTGGAAATTTAATTATTTTCAAAAGTTGTGATAAAATTCTTTGCAAAATTCAATTATCTTCAAAAGTAAGAAAATTCTTCGCAGAAATTCAATTATTTTTGAAATTTTTTTAAAATTCTTCTCAAAATTTCAATTATCTTTGTAAATATTCAAATTATTCTGCAAAATTCAATTACTTACTAATGTTTTATAAATTTCTTCTGAATAATTCAATTATTTTCATAAAAAATAATTAAAAAATTTTTTTTTTATAAAGTCTTATAATATAAAATAATGATTTTATCACTCGGTCATCTTTAATTGTAATAAAACATGAAGACATCGATTGCTCCGAGTCGAAGACTCGGAGTGATCGATTTCTTCATGTTTTATAATAATTTTTTATAAGTTGTTTATTTTCAAAAAGGTTTGAATTTGAATCTTTTGAAGAATTTTATTTCCTATGGAAAAATAATAATTAAATATTTATTTAAAAAAGAAGTTATTGATGTTTTCGAAAAATTTGAAAGAAATTTGTAAATAAATGTAACAGATCATTTTTTTGACTAAAACTTTTTCCTTCAATTTTCTAAAAATTTTAAAAGTTTCACTTTCTAATTGACAAATGGAATTTATAAACATTTTTTTTCATTAAGTTTTAAAAAACTTTAAATTTTATTAAAGCAATTATAATTAAGAAATAGAAATGATGCAAATTGTTTCCTTATGAAAATTGAGAATTTCCTACAAAAATATTAAGAAACGAGATAATATGTTATTTTTTTCCCCCTAAAGAGAAGAATGATTTTGTGAACAATATTGTTTACAAAAAAAGATTTCTGCCATTTACAATTTAAGTCGAAAAGTAATTGAAAAATTTGAAAAAAGTCGATTAGTCGCATTTTACTAAAAAAAATCTCGAAAAAGTCGATTAGTCGCATTTTTTAACAAAAAAGTCGAAAAAAGTCACATTTCCTTAGAAAAGTCGAAAAAAGTCGAAAAAGTCGCACAATCCGAGCCCTGCAGGAGATAAAGGTTGAAATTTCCTCTTCCCATTTGTGACCATCCAATTGCTGACTGGGACTTTCTCACAGTCCGTGCTTTTGATATTGTCAAACTTTTCGTTCCTTGCAGATCATAAACCGTACTTTTTCCATAGATTAGAACGAACTAATTTACTTCAATTTTTTTGTTAGACTACATAATTAGGTTAATTAATTAGCTTTAAATTAATAATTATAAAAAATGTGGATTATTGAGTAAGAAACCATTAAACAGCTAACAGGTTAACCATTAAACCATTAACCATTAAACAGGTATAGTTACCAACTTTAACACTTTAATTTACGATTTTCCTAAAGAAAGTGAACAATGTTAATTTTTATGAGAAAAGTATGTTTTTGCCGACGAGTAGAAAAAATCGTTTGTACCATTGTACCTATGGTACACGTGTGTTAGAGAAAATAGTTTATGTGCCACTTTAGAACAATAAACTACTTTATTTATCTCAGTTTAACTCTTTTCTACTTCTGTTATTTAGGAGGCTTTTTGGGCGACATTGCGCTGCCGAACATCAAGTATGAAACAGAATGGCGACAGCAATATGACAATAAGGATTATGCTGCCGAGTTGGAGAAGTATAGAGATGAGATGTTAAATGAAGGTCTACAAATTGAAGAAGAGGGTTTGACTAGTAAGTCATGAACTTTAAAGTTACAAAATGAAACTTAATTTGAGACCACGTTAGTTCTATGTCATGGAATTAGAAGGCTTGCTTTTAAGAATATTTAACATTTCTTAGGCAAAATTCTAATCCTATTTTTCTATCCTTGTCATCTAATTGATTGATAATACAGTAATCCTTTATTTACAGAAGTGTTGCAAATAAAGAATGATTCCAATATCGAGCACAATGAAGAGAAAGCAGTTGTGTTCCCCATTGAAAAATTAGAGCCAATAATAACTGATCAAACTCAATACATCATTAACGATAGTATGTTTTTTAATCCAAGCAGTGAATATAATATCCCCGAAATAAAAGATGACGGAATTGAAATTAGGTAAGTTTCTCTTACCGTAACAAAAAAGACTTACTTTTTTCCTTACTTGTTGAGCTAATTTTTCCAATTTCTAACCTGTTATTTTTTAGATTGGAAGATGCAGTTCTGACTTCTAAAGGAAAGCATTCAGTAGATAAGAAAAAGCCTAAATTAACTGCCAAAGAAACACTCTCTCAAGACTTTACTAGAGATAATATCAAAGACAAACTGCCAGCGAGAACTACTTATACAGGAATCTCAACTATAGATAATTATACTGTTAATACTAATTCTTATGTTTTAAGGCAAGAAGCAGATGCACTTACTTCAGTAAATGGCAATTCTCAAAACAAGAAACGTAGAAGACGACATCATCGAAAAAAGTATGTATTTTACTGTATTTACATTCACAAAACTTTCTTTGGCGTAGAATTCAATGTACAGAGTAATAAACTAGAAATCTTCTATGATATTATACGACACATATAATATTGCATTTCGAGTAAAATAACATTAAAGATTGTGTTGGACCGCGCAAAAAACACTCAATTAGGCAATTAGGCTTAATTAAAAGCACACTCACAGTAAAAAGCACAGATAACAATCGTGCGTCGCAAACTTTCCTCACTACACCCACATAGCACAACTTTTCACTGTAAGGTTACCTAAAACGACATCTGTAGGGCTTGTAAGGTTATCAAGTAAGAGTGTGGTAAACACGATGAAGTCTAAAAACTTCCGCCTTACTGTAGCCTTACACATGAAAGTCACTGTAAGCTTACACAGTAAAGTCACTGTAAGCTTACACGGTAAGGTCATTGTAAGCTTACACAGTACAGTTACTGTAGGGTTACACGGTAAGGCCACTGTAAGCTTACACGTAAGGTTATGGTAAGGTTATACTGTAAGGCTGTGGTAAGGTTATTATTAAGTTGTAATGTTGAGATAAGGTTGTGGTAAGTTTACAAATTATAGAAAATATTAACAAAATAATTAATAATCTAATTGAAAAATAAATATTAAAAAAAAATTAAGTTTGTTGCTTTTCTAAATTTTGGAAACCTAACATGAAACAGAAAATTTTGGAAACAAATTTGGGGGCACTAGGACTCGAACCCGGGATCGACGCGCATAAACCTAACACTCTAACTAACTGAGCTAAGTGGGGAACTGAGGAAGAGAAAATCAATTTTGCTTTTAAGGAGTTAGCTCTCTTCTTAGTGCACCTTAAAAGCAAAATTGATTTTCTCTTCCTCAGTTCCCCACTTAGCTCAGTTAGTTAGAGTGTTAGGTTTATGCGCGTCGATCCCGGGTTCGAGTCCTAGTGCCCCCAAATTTGTTTCCAAAATTTTCTGTTTCATGTTAGGTTTCCAAAATTTAGAAAAGCAACAAACTTAATTTTTTTTAATATTTATTTTTTAATTAGATTATTAATTATTTTGTTAATATTTTCTATAATTTGTAAACTTACCACAACCTTACCTCAACATTACAACTTAATAATAACCTTACCACAGCCTTACAGTATAACCTTACCATAACCTTACGTGTAAGCTTACAGTGGCCTTACCGTGTAACCCTACAGTAACTTTACTGTGTAAGCTTACAATGACCTTACCGTGTAAGCTTACAGTGACTTTACTGTGTAAGCTTACAGTGACTTTCATGTGTAAGGCTACAGTAAGGCGGAAGTTTTTAGACTTCATCGTGTTTACCACACTCTTACTTGATAACCTTACAAGCCCTACAGATGTCGTCTCAGGTAACCTTACAGTGAAAAGTTGTGCTATGTGGGCATGCATTGCAACTTATTTCGCTTAGCAATATGCGATCATGATTGTTATCTGTGTGTACAGAGACTAAAAAAATTAATAACTGTGACTACTTGTAACTTAAGTAATGTTAATTAATAGAACTGTAAAAATTTAATACAGAACAACATTGCAGAATTCATAGACACAAAAATCAACGTCCCTTGCAACCGAAATTTGATAATATGATGCATCGATCGATTTTTTCTACAAATTCTGCAGAATCTTCAAATGAAGCACTTTCCCTTCACGATAGACGTTTGCGATCAGTTGAATTCAATGATCAACAGAAACCAAAGTATTTAGAAAAATCGCAGAAAGCAGGGTATTATATTGAATTCTCTAGAAGACGACGAGCAGCAACTGCACGCAAAGAACGTGTTTGGGATCACGGTGTTATTCCCTATGAGATTGATGGAAATTTCTCTGGAGCTCATAAAGCTCTTTTTAAGCAAGCAATGAGACATTGGGAGAACTTTACTTGTGTTAAATTTGTCGAGAGAATTCCAAGAGAACATCCTAACTACATTGTGTTCACAGAAAGATCTTGTGGGTAAGTTATTAAAAAAATACGATATCGTTTATATATAATAATCAATTCCAATTTGACGCTATTAGTTTAACGACACATATAAATGACAAGAAAATTGATACTAGACAAATACAATACAAAATTGGAAGATACTTATCTGAAGTGTGTCGTTTGTCGCGAGCTTGGTACCGATCAAGAAAAAAAGAAATCGGGTTCCCCACTGCATATGGAGTAAGCTTGTAATATTGAAGACAATGTTTCTTTACTTTACTTATTCGTTACAAACACTCTCAAGATATTTTTGACGATTTTAAGATACTTGTCTAACTTTAGTTCATTTTTTCGAAGCCAAACAATAAAAAAGTTCAAATGTTAAATGTTTACTAATAATCTGTTCAATTTTTGTTTAGATGCTGTTCGTTTGTCGGTAAAAGAGGAAATGGACCACAAGCAATCAGTATTGGAAAAAATTGTGATAAGTTTGGAATAGTTGTCCATGAATTGGGTCATGTGGTCGGTTTTTGGCATGAACACACGAGGCCCGATAGAGACCGTCACGTACAGATAATTAGAGATAACATAATGAGCGGTGAGTTTTTCAATGTCCAAAATAGCACATTATTGAATATTTTTACACTTTTCAGTTTTATTAAGATTGATTAGTAGTCGTCGCGTATTTTTATTGTACTGAATCTACATCTGACAGCAGAAATTTTCTACTATATTAGAATTATAAAAATTAGGCTAGAAGTAAAAGTAAAAAACGTATTATGATACGTTTTGGAAACTAACAAATAGGTTGTTTAAATTTTCCACTTTTTGATATGCATAAATGACTATTCCTTAAGTCTCGCTGACTTAAGATCGATAATAACCGGCATGAGTCCTGGTATTATGTGGACTAACTAGAAAATTTCATTAGCAAGAATTCCTGACAGATGTCTATAATGGCTTTTCGTGTTCTTCAAGCACACTGGCAATATCTATTGACATCAATGGCGACTTTAACCATATTCGACCGAACATCCCCAACAAACCTACTTAGGTCAACATAAATCCGCACATCGTGAACTTCATAACCTTCATCACAGCGAAAAGATACATATCCTTCCACCCAAATGAAATCCAACAGATGATCTCCTTTTGTACATTAGGTTCGGAAAATACGAAGACATATCTTATTTGAAAATAAAATCCTTAGGTAATAGAGAATTTCTGCTGTCATATTTCGGCATAGGAAAAGAAACAGCTTAAAAACAATTGTTCGTTACTAAAAACTGAAAAATTTAAAAGTATAGACTTTTTATTATTATTTTGATATTTCTCTCTATTTAGAGTATCTATTAAGAGGAGGTCCTAGTGCATGAGCTCTAAAAGTAAATATTGACGCGCTCTTTAACAAATACTTATGGATGAGTTTAGTCTAATGGACATGCACAAGAATTCGTTATTTTACTATATTCTCCATCGGCTTATAAAGATTTCGTAAATCAATGAATTTCGTCATTAGTTTGCAGTACATCCAATGCTAAAATGGAAATTTTACGTACAAAAATCACAATTTGAATAGCAGATTTTAGTGGCAAAGTGGACCGGGTAAGGTTTCTAATCACATTATTGCATTATAAAACGCAAAAGCTTTGATGCATAAAAATTAAATTGAATAATTGTCAACTATCAAAAGAATTCTTCTTGAAAAATTTACTATTATCGTAAAAGTTTTGCTTTCGTGAATAAGCTATTTGTTTAGATAATTGCGGTATTTTGTAAAAAGTACTATTAACCACTGGAAAGTTAAACGTAAGACTATAATTAGTTTACTTTAATTAAAACAAAAATTGGTATGAAGAATTTGTACCTTCAATTTACTTTATTAACAGTTAAGAAAATAGTTCGCGAGGAGACTAAAAAGATATTTAAATTGTAAACTTGTCTTTCATTATACTAGAACCTCCCCTTAAGCTTAAATTAAATACTAACTTCTTAAATTTATAATTACTTAAAGAAGTTAAGAAGTGATATTTTAAAATTAAAATAACTTGATTTATCTCGTATTAGGTCAAGACTACAACTTCAATAAGTTAACTGAAGAGGAAGTGAATTCACTTGGATTACCATATGACTATGACTCCATAATGCATTACGCTAAAAATACATTCTCTAAAGGAACCTATTTGGATACAATTCTCCCTATGGAAATGTATGGTAAAAAACGACCAGAAATCGGACAAAGAATTCGACTCAGTGAAGGAGATATTGCTCAAACTAATCTTTTATATAAATGTTACAGTAAGAATATTATACTTATTCTGTAAAATATGTTATAAGAGATTCTTTATTCATTTAAACCGCCCGCGACTAAAAGGGTGTGAAAGGAAAAAAACTTAATTAAAATTTTTATTGTAAACAGAGTGTGGAAAAACCTTCCAAGAAAACAGCGGAAGCTTTGGTTCGCCAAATCATCCAAACAGTTCTCCAACGCTTGATGGTGAGCGGTGCGAATGGCGAATAACAGCAACACATGGAGAACGTATAGTTCTCAATATTTCTTCATTGGACATTTTTAAAAGTGATTACTGCCGTTCTGATTATTTAGAAATTCGAGATGGTTATTGGCACAAGAGTCCAGTATTAGGTCTGTAAATTATTCTCGCACAATTATCGTTTGGGGGTATTAATTCTATAATGTACATTTAATTCGACGTATATCTGCATTTTTATGACAGGACGATTTTGCGGAACTGGAAACATTCACGAATCAATCGTTTCAACTGGAAGTCGAATGTTGGTAACATACATAACGTCGAGTCGTCAAACTGGACATCGAGGATTTACTGCGAACTACGAGGCAGTATGTGGAGGAGATGTAGACTTGGAGGGTGTAGGTCATTTAGAGTCACCAAACTATCCTGAAGAATACCAATCAAGTAAAGAATGTGTTTGGCGATTATCAGTTCCTCAAGACTATCAAGTTGCTCTAAAATTCCAATCATTCGAGATAGAAAATCATGATAATTGCGTTTACGACTTTGTTGAGATTCGCGATGGACATGACGCAGATTCTCCTCTTATTGGAGTTTATTGTGGTTATAAAATACCACCGGATATTCGTTCAACTGGAAGTAAGCTTCTGGTAAAGTTTATCAGCGACAGTTCTGTGCAAAAAGCTGGATTTTCAGCAATATTTATGAAAGGTACCTAAAAATATTTTTAGTTAAAATGTCGAATATTAGCAAACCTAAATGAACAAACATTTCTTAAATACTTACACCCTATTTTTCTTATAGAATTTGATGAATGTGCACTAACCGAACACGGTTGCGAACATGATTGCATAAACACTTTAGGGGGATATGAATGCTCCTGTAAGGTTGGTTTCGAACTCCACTCTGATGGGAAAAATTGCGAAGGTGAGCATAGAGTACAATAGTTTACAGAATATCATAAATTTAGAAATAATAGTGTAGAATTATTTTTAAGATGCTTGTGGAGGTGTCTTCGATACTAAGAATGGCACTATAATTAGTCCGTCTTTTCCGGAATCATATCCTGGAAATAAGCACTGCGTGTGGGAAATTATTGCACCACCTCAGTATAAAATAACACTAAACTTTACTCACTTTGACTTGGAAGGTAATAATGTATATCAACAAGAGTGTGAATATGATTGGGTAGAGGTATCCAGCAAACTTGGAGACGATATACTGAGAAAACATGGTACATACTGTGGGTCTAGATTACCGCCATTATTGACATCGGAAGGCAATGCTTTTAAAGTTGTCTTCTCTTCTGACAACAAGTAACCTAATTTATTTTCTCTGTATAACTGTTGCTAAATCTTTGCTAAACACCACATTTTTTTGTGGATTAACACTTGTTTGCATTTGATTATATAATAATTATTTGAGTGTACATTAATTTAAATATATTTAGCTTTTTCAAATATTTCAATAAAAACTTTGTAATTGTAGCTTGCAAAAGTCTGGATTTGCCGCTGCATTTTTTACAGATATGGATGAATGTGCTAATAACAATGGCGGATGTCAGCATGAATGTAAAAATACAATAGGCTCTTACCAGTGTTCTTGCCATAATGGTTTTACTCTTCATGACAATGGTCACGATTGTAAAGAAGGTGGTTGCAAATATGAAATAACCGCTTCTGCAGGCACTATAACTTCACCAAATTATCCTGATTACTATCCTGGTCGTAAAGATTGTGTGTGGCATTTTACAACGACTCCTGGTCATCGAATTAAACTGGTAAATAATTAATGTTCAACTAAGTATTTCTATCATATCCTTAACATGAATTATTTCATTTTGTGTCTCAGATTTTTAAGGTATTTGAAATGGAGCCACATCAAGAGTGTGCTTATGACCATGTAGTAATATATGACGGCGATTCTCCAGACAGTCATACACTAGGTCGTTTCTGTGGTAATAAAGAACCTTATCCTATTGTAGCTACTGGAAATCAAATGTACATGATATTCAAAAGCGATTCTTCAGTTCAAAGAAAGGGATTTTTGGCAACACATATGACTGGTGAGTTTTGTACTCATTAGGTAATGTGTATTAAAGCGTATAAATATTCGCCAAAGTTCATTTGACATAAATAATATTTGACAAAAGTATTAATATGACCAGAGTATTACTTATGTCAAGTACAATTCATTTCAAACTAAGTTAATGTCAATATTATTAATTAAGTGATCATGGAAAGGTGGAAAATTGAGTAAAAATCCAATGTGTTTCGTCAGTAAAGCGACGTTTCGTGGGCTAAGGTTTGCCAGTCTCAACAGGCTAAATTTATTAAAACAGAAAAAAACACTTCAATATCCCATGATCATTTATTTAATATCATCTATACTATGGAAGGATTTAACTCTACTCAATTATTAAATTTAATTGTTAAAGTAGGATTTAGAAATTTAATTTTAATTTTTAAAACTTTAACTTACGTGTCCTTCGGACAAAAGAAATTGTAAAGGTAGTGGATTCCCCCTCTACTTAGTTATTGTTTCAACTAAGAGGTTGAGAACCCTACTCTTGTGTGAAATGAGAAGATAGGAAAATTGTTAGGATGTTTGAATTAAACCACAAAATGAAGATAATAACAATTAAATGTATATATATTTTACCCAAAGTCCCTATTACAGATAAATCTAATTTTATGTGTAAGAAGAGTAAGTGTATCTGTGTGAATGGAATATTAGTGTGTGTTGTGACACGTAAGATCTTTACTCACTACTCGGTGATTCTTCTTCTAGGTTCACTAGACTGATATTTCGCTGGGAACTTTAATATTCTTTTTAAGTTGCACAAAGTTTAAGATCTGAACCTCGTAAATAAAGGATGTCTTCTAATATATATTTGAAATTAATATTATTTATTTTTATAGCTTTACTTTATTTTCCTTTTTGATATAAGAGTCTTTTACTTTACTTTGATCACTTTAATTCTTTTATATTCCTTTCACAAATTCCTTTATGTTTATTCTTTATATTTTTTTATATTCAATTTCATTTATTTTATTTTCAATATTTTCTTTTATTTCTTTTATCCTTTTTAATTATATGACTTTATTTTATTCTTTATATTTCAATTATATATTTTCCAATTCAACCTTTTTTACTTCTATTTATTTATATTTTTCTCAATTAAATTCACTTTTCTTAACAAACTTCTTATTAATTTCTTTAAACTTCTGAGATCCTTTTATACAACACGGCCAATTGCCGGACTTAGGTTTGCCTGGCCCCAAAATGCCGGCTACAACTACAGGCTACAACGGCCTGGACTAAACTGCCCAGATTTCCCTATGTCGATCACTTTTATTGAAAGACAATTTAGTGGGAGAATTCATAGTTAACGTGGCTGTTGCTAAGCCGATTTCTGCAACCTTGCAGATTTAGGCAGTGGCGTGATCCGAGTTCGGTGACTTGGATGCACCACTCCTTATATTGAACTATTTGCTTGCCTTTGATAATTTCTATCCATTTCTCAAAAGAGTTAATAAGCTGTTTGTGAAAGAAAGGAATTTATTGAGAAGTATTGTATTATATTCTTAAGTTTTTTTTACTTTAAAAATTGTCAAACTCAAAAAAACATTAAATTCAATCTTTATGTAGAATTGGAATTTTTGTCAAATTTGGGATACCTTGGATTAAAATTACCAAAGTGAAGAGTGTCCCTTTTGTGAAATTACAAAGGGTTGTTTTTCGTGTAAATGTTTTGAAGCTTGTTAACAAAATCTCTTGTTGTGTATAATTCGTTGTTTATAATTCGGTTTTTTAAGTATTGTAAATAATTATTTATGATATAAAAAGTTACGGAGTTCGGCCGTAACATTAATATCAATTGAGATTTATGGACAAACAATATTTATTTGAATGCACTTCGGGACATATTCATATTATGTTTTAATAAAAAATAGTTTTTTAATACGTCTATTTTGATTATACAGCCTGTGGTGGTCATCTGGTTGCAACAGAACAAGTAAACTATTTATATTCCCATGCAAAGTATGGCACACATAATTATGATCCAAAAACTGACTGTGACTGGGTTATTGAGGCACCAGTCGGCAAAAATGTCCATCTCGTATTTATATCTTTCAACTTGGAGGATGAGCTAGAATGCAGTTATGATTTTGTCGAGGTTCATTCAGGTTTAGATTCTTCGAGTCCAAGTTTCGGTCGTTTATGCGGCAACACAGTAAGTCAAGCTTTATTTCAAAAAATAAATCTTAGTTATATTTACATGTTAAATTAGTAAAACAATAATTAAATTCAATTTTTATTATCATTGCAGAATACATCCGACATTATATCAATGAACGAAGCACTGCTAGTAAGATTCAGAACAGATGATACTATAGCAAACAAAGGCTTTGCCGCAACATTTATAGCGATTGATAGACAAGATAGTGAAGAAGTTCTCGGCGGAAAAGAAGATGAGGAAAATCAAAATCTCTGATCTTAATAGAAAAATTGTATTGTTACCTTAAATTAATAATCAAGGAAAGAGATTTTAATATTGTAATTGTCTAAATATTAATCTACTTTACAAACATATTTTGAACAGTGGGCCAAGAAGAAATTTCTAATAAACCACAGAGGAATAATTTTGTATTTTATCTATATTCAACGAAACCAAAAATCGTCAACTTCAGTTTGTAAAAGGCTTACTCCAAAATAAATACAAAATAATTTTTATTGTACCAACAGTTAAATAAAAAATATCTTGTACATATCTCTAATAACAAGCTTTACGAAATTGGAAATTTTGAAATATTTACATTGCAACAAATCTCTTACTTGTGAAAATTAGATAATTAATTAAATGAATGAAATGCAAGACATTACTTAAATTTACGATAGTAGATGATAAATATTTTAAATTGTATTACAATTTTAAATAGTAAATAATATTTTATAGGGAAAATATAATGGAATTATCCTAACAGCATAAAATAATGATTTTTTACTCTATTTCACTAATGTCGCCTTTAGCAATATTTTAGCAAAAAGTAAACCTTTAGAAAATTTACATTGTATATTTTGATAAATAATCATTAAGGGTAATTTATAACTGAACAAAAATTTCGATTAGTAAGTGCTCTATTTTTAAAAAAATTTCTTTAATAATTCAGTCTTCGCACTCATCTACTAAAATCTACAATTTACTACTTTCTCACATTCTCAAAAGGTATCAGTTTTGGTCGAAAATTGACTTTTGCTAATTTTATGAAATCCTTACGTTTTGGGGTGTCCTGAGTCCGAAACTTTTCTAAAGATAAAATAAGCAAGTATAAAAATTATATTTTCATTTATTATAGTAAATTTATTATAAATTTCTAAGGAATTAAACAACTTCTATTCTACTTATTGAAAAAGTTCTTCTTCATATATCTTAAGATCTCTTCTATCTTTGTGTGCACTTTTCTGAGAATAATTAGCAGCAGCAGAAGACCACATGGAACTAGAAGTTGCATCATTCATTGGTTCAATTATTGGTTGTCGCCTAGCCAACGATACTTTTAATTGAATTGATGAAACCATACTACCATCCATTTCATTTATTGCCCTTTCAGCAGCATCAGTTTTATCGAATGTCACAAATCCTCGACTGTAATTTATAAAATTAATTTATTAACATGTTCAATTCGATCTAGTCCATTGCTGCTTTCCCTTTCAATTAATTGTTCAAAAATCGATGAAAATTTAAGATTTTTCTCCTCTCAGCAAATAGATTAGTGATGGTTGTTAATTAAATGGAGAGAGGAGAAGGAAAAAAGTAGAAGCACCAGCAACACATCAGATGTCAGAATTTATATTTTTACTCTTATCTTTAATTAAAGGAAAGTTACTTACTTTTTCTCAGTTTCCATTGATATATTGACAATATTTCCAAACGTTTGAAAGTGCCGTTTCAAAAAGTCCTCAGAAATTTTATAACCACATACAAATATTGTATTTCCGCCCTTGTGTTTAGGTTCGGCTTTTGCAAGAGAAGGTTTTTCAACAGAAGTCTTACTCTCCGTATCTTGCGCGCTTACAAAACTATCGTAAAGATCTTTAACTCTTGTTCTAGACGTTTCAACTTCGTCCTCCTCGGTTTGATTTGCCGAAAACGGTTGATATGATGATATCGTCTTTTCTGTACTATTCAATTTTCTTTCTAATCCTCGAGGTCTTTTAAAAGCTTGCTCTGCACGCTTTGGTGTTTTCGGTGCTGTAATGACACCGGATTTAATTAATTTCTTTGCCACTTCACGAGCATCTCTTGCTTCTGTGGCTCTCTTCGGTGTTTGAGGAATGCGTTCAGGTTCTGGTTTAGGAGCTTTCAAATCTTGAAGAGCCTTTTTCTATAAAATAAATACCAAACAAACTAACATTAATAGGCAAAGAGAAAATAATATTAGATAAAAACGCACTTTGTTTAATAGAACCAAACTTAATTTAAATGTAAGAACATTTAAGGCAGAATTTATTATAGATTTTTCTCAAATTATCTATTTACGTTAAATCTTTTTTAAGAAATTCAAAAGATGCAATTAGAGATAACTAAAGAGACTATTCGTCCCGCATTAAAACTAATTTTTTATTATACTTTACCCCCCCCCCATGTAATTAAAAGCTCAGTATGACGCTAAATGTTTAAAGAAAAAAAAATTACGAAAGATAACATTAATTGATATTTTATTTCCTCGAAAAAGAACAATTTTTGAGTTATTAAATTATACGTTCTAATTCAAGGCCGGGTTTATACAGAGGGAAACTAGGAAAACTGACCATGGGCCCCCATCGCATAAAGGCCCCCACCATCTAAACTATTTTTTACAAAACGTGTAAAAAAATTTTTTTTAAAAAAGTATTTTACTAAATAATTTTGAGTGTTTAGAAATTTAAGTAGCGCGCTTAATTCATACATAAAATATACTTTACTTAATATTTTAATCTTGGTAAATTTTTGAAAAACCCTTTCCTTACATGGGGGCCCCCACCAGTACAGGGTTGCCTAGGGGCCCCTGTCAAGTAAATCCGACCCTGTTTTAATTTCAATATAATTATAAGATTTCTTTAAAAATATGCTCTGTATAATTTGTGTTAAAAGCAGTTTAGTTAGGAAAACATTTTTATATCGATAATATAATTTGTGTTTATACAATGTAGCTTCATTTATTATTAAATAAATGTATTTAAATAGAGTAATTATTATAAGTATATATCGAAAAAATAACTGAGTGCTGAGTATATAGTAAGGAAGGAACAAACTTTGATCAATCCATCAAAGTCAAGTCAAATATGGACAAGGTCAACGTTGACCGGAATTTGATAGTATTAAAATTTGACTTCGATTTGTAAATTAAAACAATGAGAATTAATTGAGAATTGAATTAGTTAATTAATTAATTAATTGAGAATTGAATTAGTTAATTAATAAATTAATTGAGAATTTTAATTCTCAATCAAAACAAAGAGCTTCTTCTACTGGGTAAGGATACATACGTTGTAGTAAAAACAAGTTATAAATTTATTAACGTACTTAATTACAATGATGATTAAATAAATTAATGCTGAATGTGTAAAACGTTATTTTACGAATTTAATTTAATTACAAACTTTTAATCTAAAAATAATTAAATAATAATTCATCTAAAATAAGTTTAAAATCTTTTTCAGGTTTAGTTAAACTAAGGAACAAAGAAGAGTATTTATTCTATATCTACAGTTGATTTAACGTAGTATTTACATGAAACACATCTTCAAAGATTGGAGCAACTACTTAATAAAGAATACTAATTATAAAAAAATTAAAGTGAAAAACGTTTACATAACATTAAATCTTCTTTGCTATAAAGAAATCAATAATGACAAATATATCATAAGTAGAGCTGTGCAAAATAATTCGAACCGAATTGTTCGAATTTTTTCGGTTAGTTCGAATGTCGAAAAACCGACATTCGAGTTAGCCTAGTTCGAATGTCGAATATTCGCCCCAAAACCGAACAAAACTCGGTTCGATTCGAATTTTGCACAGCTCTAATCATAATATCACTTATGCGTAAGAGTTTCTGAAACGTGACACCTGAAAATCGAAAACTTTTATTTTTTCCTAAATGTTAATTTTCCTGTAGCATTTTACATAAAAAACCACTAGATGTAAAAGGATTTTGCAAAAAATTTTACTCTTGTAAGACAATTAAAAATTGTTATTGCTTTTTTTAAAAAAATTAATTTTAGAAAAACTTGTTGACATATTTCAATAATTCAACCGGCATTATTTTTGTCTTTTATATCCAAATTTCAAATATAAAATTTTCTTGTTTAAAGATATTGGATTTCAATAAAAAAAAATTGTTAAAATACTAATTAAATAAATAAAAAATTGAAAAAAGATAATTGTGCATTACGAGTTACGATGCGCACCGCAATAGAATTTTTTCTCGAGGCGACTCTGGATAATGATTCTCACTATCATTGCTTGAACTTTAAATATTTTTGAACGAAAACTTAAAAAAATATTGTGTTTACACGTCACCTTTTTGTTCGGAAATTATGGTTGAATAAGTGTTACATTGATATTTTTCAACATATTTTTTAATTTTGTTTTATTGAGTAATACATAACCCACGCTTTGATATAAAAAAATGAAAGGGAAAATTATTTTATTTATTTAATATTTTATTGTTTAGTTTTATCACGTATTAGCGGGTGAGATAGCCATTAATAAATTTTATTTTAATTTTTTTATGTTAATGTTAGATTTTTAAAAAATATATTAAAGAGAAACAATTAAAAATTTTTTGATAACAAAATAATTGATGTAATTGACAGTAACGATTCAGTGCAGTAATTTAAATTTTTGGGTACATAAAAACTACCAGAAAATGGGCAAAGTAATGAGAACGATTAAAAAAAAAATCTTCTTTTCGCTAAAAGCGAAAAAATATAAGTATTTTCCATCTCTCCCGCATACATGTGCATCTTTCCAAGACATTCCGTGAGAGATGTCCAAATGCACTTTTTAAAAAATGTAAATTTTAGGATTGTTTCTATGAAAATATTTTATTTTTCGTTATTTCAAAGTTAAGTGTTCAATGTTTAATTATCAATAAAAGTGTAGACAAAAATCGCTTTATTATAATTTTTACAGTGCTTTAAAAAACTATGGCCATTTCCCTCGGATTTACCCCATCTAACAAGAAACTTGACCTAATCTCTTCTATTAGGTGTTATCTTTTTCATAATTTCATTAGCTTTTAGAAAACAAAGAGAAAATTTTCATTCTTTTTTTACGCTTAACGCATTTTACACTATAATGAAAAAATGGGTAGTGTAAGTTAAAATGGATAAAGTGGATTAACTCTCATTTTAGCCTAATGATATTTAAAATATTTGTCGCGTGGCTGCTACCTGGAAAATATGCTATTATTGAAATATGCCTTACTTAATAAATAAGCATAATTTATTTCTACTGTCAAAAATGAGCTTTCTTTCTATTGTCATTTCATTTCAATATTTTCAATAAATAATTTAATAACATTTTACTTTCATTATTTTATTATTATATAATAATCGAAAGCAAGCTCTTGGCATTTTGGTTTAAAATAAATAATTTAAAATAGCGACTTCAAAATGGTGACGAAAAAATACTTTTTCGGGGGATTTCTGCTAAATTTTTGAACTGAATTCGTTTAGCAATTCGTCAATTTAAAATTCCCGGTTTTTCTCGGGTAAATCCGGACAAAATACCTGTTTTTCAAAAATAACGCAAGTTTGTTATTTCAATAGACAATACTTCCGGTTTTTTATTGCATTAATTTGCTTCTTTAGTTCTCTACAACAACTTTATGGATCAGAAAAAAATTATATAAGCTTTAGTCGCGTAAAACTGCCATTCTGTATTCATCCATAGATTTAGAAAATTTTTTCCTAAAATTCCGGGTAAATACGAACGGCGTAGTTTGTAAGGAAGGTTTAAAAAAGTTAGGACTTAATACAGTATTGTATTAAGAATGGCAAACTTTTAGAAAATTTATAGTAGATGTTTAACAGTTCAAACTGTTAAGTGTTATAGTATTATAAAAGTTAAGAAATCAACCATTCAAAACGCAGTAATGTAAAAAATAAAATAACTTTAGCAAATTTTAACGGATTTTGATTAAACGAGTCTCACATTGACTGTTAATTATCTTGTTGCCAATTGTCAAGATATAAACTTGGCAATACTGAGAATCTCTTGCAGGTGATCTTGGGTTGAAACATTGAAGATGAACTTAATTTCTAATTTGTATATTAAACTCCAAAACTTCTTGTCCGCATTAACCCCAATATGTCACAGAAGAGTTTCGTTATATTCCGAAGAGATACTTAACCCTAAAGAAATCGATATAATTGTAGCAAGAATTTTGTCAAAATTAACTAAACGAAATAAGCTTTAAAGGCCGTAGCAGTTTAAGCATGTAAAAAATGCCCCCTGTTGGATTGGGTCCATATTTAGGGAATAATTTTGACCTATTATGAAACTTATTTTCACCAAGATTTCAACTCGAAAAAAAATTTTGTTTTTGAGTTAAAGGATTTTTTTGAAAAATTCAAAAAAATTTCCTCCAAAATAGTTGAACCGATTTTCATGAAAAATTTTTTTTTGTACAATACAATATGAACAGTTGATAAAAAAGAATTGTCGAACAATTCTTACAAAGAATGTCAGTGAAAAGTCAGTAAAAAAAAATTTTTTTTTTGGTCGAAATTTTTTTTTGCACTACCGCGATTTTTTTCTATAAAATAATAGTCATTTCAAAAGTAACATATATTTTTTGCAAGATGATTGAAAGGGTACTTTCATATTTCAAAAAATAAAAAACCCATTTTTGGCCCCTAAATAGTACAGTTTCCTATATAAACGAGGGACCAACATTTTTTAAAATTAAATTATATTAAATTAATTAATAGTTAAAGTAAATTTCTAAAAAAGTTAACAATATATGCCTATTTATTGTAAATATTGATTTTTTAGTCAATTTTTCGAAAAACTTTACAAAAAAGTAAAGCTTTCACTCGTATACCACGAGAAGGTTGTCAGTCAGATTATTTGACTTTATACGATTTACAAGTTTTTTGTATAATTTTATTTTATTTTTTTGTCAAATTTGTCGATTACTACAATCTTTGTATAAATTATTAAAATTTTTACTTAACCCTTGGGCGGGCAAGCTAAAAAAATCACGTAAGCCGGTCCATTGGACCCCGCTTTAAAAACGCTTAAGGGGTTATACCTGTTTGGCATTTTTTATTTTTAGATTTTTTCTTTATTGGCTTAAAATATACTATAACATCCCTAGATTAATAATCTATAACG